CTCCCACAGCAGGGCAAACAGTCGTTTGGAAAATAGAGCTTATTCACTCTTTACACTGTGTGCTGGTTTTGTTTGCGCAGCCGCGGTTCTTGACGGTCGCCCCCGTGGACACCAAGTCCAAGGCGGACGTGTCGTCCATCCCCGGCCCGGTGGCCGCGCCCATCACGGCGGGGGCCATGGCCTTCGCCGGGGTGGGCCACCACCTTCCCGGACTCGGCCTGGCCGGCCTGGCCCCGGGCATGCCGATGGCGGGCATGCCGATGGCGGGGCTGGCGCAGCTGGCGGGCAGCTCGGACATGGTGCCCGTCGTGGTGGTGCAGTCCTCCATGGAGCCCTCCACGTCCTCGACCGTCGCCGAGGTCGCAGTCGCACCGCCCATCATGGTGGACGAGGCGGCCGGCCCCTCCACCGTCGCCTCAACCGTCACCACCACCAACACGACCGCGACGACGACCACGGACGACAGCAGCTCGGAGTGCTCCGCAGCGCACGCCCCGCGGACGTTCAGGTCCGAGTCGTGCTCGTCGATGGCGTCGCGGCGCCGTCGGCAGGTGCACCCCGAGCAGGAGGCCATCGTGCCCCAGGAGGGCCTCATGGACTCGACGGACGAGGAGCGGGAGATCATGCTCACCTCGCCGCCGGTGCCCACCCCGGAGCTGTGCAGGCGGCACCCCCACCTCATGTACGCCCACATGCGCCAGCGGTCGCTGCCCCTGCACGCGCAGGTGCCCCTCGGCCCGACCCCCGGGCCGTCCTGCTCCTCGTACGGGGCCATGGGACCCATGGGGACTGGGCCCGTGCCCAGGGACCCCGTCGTGCCGGACCCCAACCGGCCCGTTCAGTCCGTGAGTCGGCGGGCGAGCCAGCCCGCCCCCACTCCCTCCACCTCCGGCCAGGACAGGCCCAGCCAAGAGTTCAGCGACAGCTCCACACATCTCTGAACTGTTCGTCAATTCAATATCAGCTCACAGCTTTGTGTTTTGTATATTAAGAATTCAGTTAAAATCTATACATCTGCAAATGCGCCAAGACTTTTCGCATATGTAGAAAACATATGTGTACATATTGAGATATATTTTCTTGTGCTATATTGTGGTTGTTACAGCAGTGGATACTCATATTTTTGTGAGGATATCATATTGAAATGATTGAAGGAAACTTTGGTGTAGGTTATTGAATTTGCAGAGCCAGGTTTGAAAATGTTCAATTAAATTATATTTTATAATTGAAGTCTTGCTTGTGTGTCACTTTGTTTTCATGTTTTATGCACCATTTAATTGGTACTCTTGTTAATCTATCATTTAAAAGAAAATTGTGACCACTTCAGAAAATGTCTAATTTTAGCCTGTTATTTTTCTTTAAATCCATTATTTTGCGTGAATAGGTTTTGCTTTACAATTGCTCAAAGGATCTTGACACAAAATTGTATCATCTAATTGTGAGAGGGAAGTGTCTGCTGTGGACCAAATTTGCAAATATGCTAGAGAGACAGAATGCAACGACAATTCCAATCTTACGGCCTACAGGAAGTCTGTCGCCAAGCCTTTCTTTCAGCTCTATTGGTCAAAACACTCATGTGATATTATTAATTTGTTTAAAATTTCTGTAAGTTGTGGTTCTATTCTAAAGAGGATTTTTAAGAACTATTGATTGCAAATTTTCAATCAAGAAATTTTGAGTGTTTGCATCAATTAAAATTGCAATGTTATGCCAAATATAGGTTGCCAAGTTAACTTTTGAATTTTAAGAATACCGATACCAGATGGTTTTTTTCTTTCTTTGTTACTGTTTAAATTTAAATTTTTCAATAAAGTTTAAAAATCTTAAACATTATTCGCTGCGTCCCCCAAAACATACCACTCTTTTATTGTTGATGGCCTGAGACAACCGTCACACTTACAACAGAACGCTGTAAGCTGCCTCTGAGGCCGTGTCGGTTGTAGCTACACCGGTGTTGCTACAGAAACAGGGACGTCGCTTACAGGAACCCGCCGTGAAGCGCCTCGGAGGTAGGCACCAAGACGACATGCGTCCATTGCGCTGCCTACCTCACAGGCACCGTTGCCCCCAAAAAGACGCCCCGCCGATGTCGATGAGATGCGACAGGTAAAATTAAAATTGTTCCGTGCGGATTTTCTTATTTTGATTTGTTATTGTACTGATTAAGAAGAACAACAACAGCAACGATAGTATAGTGCGATCTAACAAGGCGCAAGATATATGCATATGCTCACAGCCGCAGGTCCACGTAAAGAATGCCAAGGGCGAGCGCGGACGTTTTGATGGAGATCTGGCCCATCGCGTCCCGCAGGACTGGGTGGAAAGGGGGCGGCGTAGATAATTAAGCCCGCTGCCACTGGTTTCTTTCTCTTGACTCACCTCCTGCTCTTCCTGCTGTCTGCGGGCGGAGGCGACGGCTCGCTGGGGGATAGCTCACTCGCACCCACAGGTATATAGCGCACGCGACCCTCTCCCTCATTCTCCTCGGCCCTGGCGAGCGGCCGCGGTGCCGATGCTCTGCGGCTGACAAGTTTTTGGCTCATCGCTCACGAGCGAGAGAAAGAGAACGGCCCGCGCCCGACCTTGGTGGGGGGAGGGGGGGGG